ATGGGTTGGAAGTACACTTTATTGACGTGTGATTAGTTAGACCATAACACAAACTCTTCGAAGAAACAGTTTCAAACAAGTCTAGCGATACCAGTTTTATTGCAACTCAACTGGTCCTCCAAGCCGCTAGGCACATCGTTTCTGACTCAGTTATCGAGATAATAATAATGGGTGCGATTGAAGACAGGGGAGCGGGAACGGACGCGGGGTGTTCGTTGCACGTCGTCAAAAATCTAGCCTTGGTTGAAGAAGTTATTTATTATTATTATTATTTTTTTGAGGCACAGGCCACCGTCACAAGAGGGCGCTCTTGCAAACGCAAGGCAAACAAAAACGCGACAGGAACTGGATGTCAATCACTGAGATGTACCAACGCCCCCCCCTACAATTGTCAATTTTAATGATACTTCGCTCGTTCCAGACAACAATGATGGATTCTGCAGGGACATACGAATAGAATCGATTGGCAATACATGTTAAGTTTTAGTACGTGTGCATAATTCAGGGCTGTCCTAGGGAGTAGCACCACCGACTCTAGCAGGACGACTACGTTCGTATATAAGTATCGCCTCAACATTGACAGCGGGATGACAGAAAGTCACCCACCACGCAAAGCCGCTTCCGGCTTGTACACATTCAGATGAAATTTGCGCAATGCGTACTCTGCACCATAGGCTTGCTAACCACACTGTGTGTGCGATTTGCCACACGTACTGCAGCTCGTGATTGGTCATAGTTAACAGCAACAACACAATTCCTGCAAGAAATCTTTTTCTTAATTGGCAGTACGCAGTACCAGTTGCATTTTTTTAAGCCGTCTTGAAACCATTTGCAGTTTGCTACAGTACCGTTCGTAACAATGAGGGGTTTTGCAGGAACGGATGCTTAAAAATACACAAAGAGAAAATACGGCATCGATTAAATTCGAATATTCTTCAAGAACACCATCGGTGTATTTTATTATTCTATCCTTTGAAGCACAATGATCCCTGAAAAATCAACATGTCGTTTACATACAACACTGTGTATTTGTAAAATGCAAAGTGCTGGTACTGTACATGTATATACAACAGGTCCATCCCTGCTGCACACGGCCGGACATTGTCATATACTGTACATGTACATGTCATGCACATAGGCTTCGGGTAGCTACATGATTACACGGGTACTCGGTTGACAGACCGATATAAAGGCACTTGATTTGGGTTACTTTCTTTCCGGGTGGTCAAAAATTAACATAAGACATCTCACAAATAAGTAAGGCTGCATCCGAATCTAGTGTCTACATAGAGCTAATTTTCAAAAAAATGGTGCTTTTTGTAACCCTTTGGCGATTTCTAACAAACAAAAAGGATGCATGAAACAATGAAAAAAAGCAAATAAAAATTTCACGGTAATAAGGTCACGTATGGTTCTAATTCTCTTGCAATGCACAGGACGTATAGTTGCTCGACTGTTCTCGGAGGTTCAGAGATTTTTTGTTTGCCTGATATATACATGCTTTTAAAAAGCCTTCAAAATGTATAACTTAGTCCACAGTAGGCATCAAGAGTATCAGCACATAACGAACAGCGACCGAATCCTAGCTGTGCTGTCGAGTAACATTCAAGGTCCAAACTTTGATTTATTAGCAGTAAGGTAGGGCATGTCAATTTCATAGCGTTTACATGAGTGTAGGTATTTAAACTTAGGGTCTAAACTACTTTGACCATCACATGTGGCCGGTACAACCAGCCTGCGAACCCTAGGATCAGCAAAAAATGAGTTCGATGTTCGAGAACCACCGTCGCCGTGACTCGAGAAGAACATATAAGCTAGCACCACCTTTTCTTAAAGTCTTTCGAACGATGAATACTTTCACATCCGTCAAAAAACACATTCACTGAACTGTTGTATGAAATTCAACTGCTGTGAAAATAAGTTCGTTGACGTGCCGCTGACGTGCTCCGGAACGAGGGAAAGCGATAACTCCAAGGGTGACGAGAGTTCCCACGAGTTTATTGCTCACATGACACTTGGTAATGGTTGGTATCCACTTCAGTTTGGTTCCCGCACCGCAGGACTCCACAGCATGTGAAATCCCGCACTAGTATGTTGCAAGCTAACACACTCGTGAGTACATAACGGCAAAATAAAGAGAGTACCAGTTGATTGCACCGCCGCCATCCTTGTTAAAGCCGCATCGTTCATTTTTTTTTAAGTCCCCCAAAAGATCCATAAAATTTTCTTTAAAAAAATCTTTGTTTTGTCAGAGTGAAAATGCCAATTATAAAATAGTATGCATATTAGATTAAAACACAACATTTTTGTGGATTATTCGAAGAGTTAAACGTTTTCAGTCATCCTGAATCGAAAAGTTATCGCCGTTGAAATAAATATAGAAAATACAAATTCAAACCTTCTCCAGACAATAGGGTGGTGTATTTTTTTTCAATGGGCCAAACAACTGCTTTATTTTAGACTTATTCTTTTCACACAGTCAGTGCCTTAGAAATAATATCTCTCTCGACGTCTGAGCTGAAGCGTAAAACTACGCAATGGCATTTAAAGTGGGTCAATACTGTTGCAGAACGTCTATTTCTGTATACTGGTACAAAAATGAAGAAAGGAAAGAATACATGTGGAGCGGAAATCGTTTTTCTTCAAGTGGGCGATTCCTGCCACACGGAACACAACATAAGCAAGCAAGTTTATACATGAAAACTATTACTATACGACAGCCATTGTGCAGAATAACTGGCGCTTGACTGTTTTCGTGATCAAAAGAAGTAGGACATCAACTTACTCCCCGGAATCGTCAATTAAATTTCGAAATCCTGTGCCATTATATGCACGATATTGCCATTACACGCACACTCTGCGTTACAAGTGTATAGCATAGGTGTCCACTGCAAAGCCCATTATAGGGACAGGACGATTATCTCAAACCCCAACTATGGCTTGGTCCCGATATTATCTCTCATATTTGTTTACTGGATTTTCTTCATGCGATTTTGTTTACAGTTTCAATTTGTTTCAACGGATAGCTTCCCATACCCCCCTTAGTGTGCTTAAGAGGGGGCAGTTGAAGGTTCTCCCGTGAAGCATGTACTGATATGACGCATCTTACCAAAATAGGGGGGGGGGGGGTTGAGGGGGGAAGTGAGCGTCCTCATCCACCATCTTTTTAAAGCAGCGACTTGAAACAAATGGCAGCTTCCCGTATATACACC